AAAAAAAAAAAAAAAAAAAGAGAGAGAGAGAGAGAGAGAGAGAACTTGCAGGTATTAAGCCCTAGCTCATAACCTCCCCAACCACGTCTCTCCTAATGCTCTCAGTTTACAGATAAAGAAGCCAAGATCTTGAGACAAGGAAATTTCTACAGGCCTCACAGGAATAAAGGATCAAATCCAATTAGACAGCAGGTCTGAATCCAAATCAGAGGCTGGGTTTCTGTCCTGCATCACAGCACCTCCCCGGGGCAGCTCTCTCTAACTTCTGCCTCTCAGGCTGGGGCCACATCCCCGCCTCCTCAGAGAAGAGGAGTGAGGGAGGGAGAGCGGCTTCCCCGCAAAGGCTGCTGGGAACAATGTGGGATCCACTAGGGAGAGCACAAGCGTGTGCTGTAATGTTAACGTACAACGGGGACAAAGAAGTAAATATATGTAGAGTCTGCCCCAAACAATATCACAGTTCAGAAAAAGAAAAACCAACAGATGGTGTTACCCTCCTATGCCGGACCCTAGAGGATGTCGTATATCACAGAAAGTCCACTGCACTGCCAGCCCTTAGAGAAGAAATTGAAAATGCACATGCACCGATCTCAGTGACCAAGGTAACCCAAGCAGCAGTTCACTGTGCTAATAAATGCCTGGAAGCTCTTGGCCATCACTTTGAGCACCTCTCGTAATGGTAGAGGCCAAAGATAACTTGTATTAATCGCAGGATGTCTCAATCAATTTAGTATGAAAATATTTATACAAGTTGTTCCTTTCCTGAAGGGGGCACACACGTTTTCAGCGGACTCAGCATATGTATCACAGTGTAACGCCGGTACTCAGTGTAGCTGTGATTAGAAGAATCCTAGATATCTCTGGATGTTGGTACTGGAAGTGATTCCTTTTTTTTTTTTTTTTTTTTTGTATCAGGAATCAAACTCAGGACCTTGCACTTGCAAGGCAGGCGCCGTGCCACCGAACTAAACTCCTGGCCCCATTAGAAGTGATTTCTATTTTCTTCTTAGAGAGAGAGAGAGAATGCATAGGTATTAAAACTTTTAACCTTCAAAAAGTATTACTAACTTATCATCAGAACACACATCCATCTCTTTGGCTAAGACTCTTCTGTCCTCTTATTAGAAAAATCAAGACCTGTGGGTGTGGTTCAGGAGCCAACATGTGCTTAGCATGTGAGAGGCCCTGGGCTTAATCTCCTGCATCATAAATAAATAGCTACGTATATCTATGTATATGTATTTCTTTTCATTCTCATGCCCTTCTCAGGGAATCTCCCTTAGCCATGCTGCCTCCTCCTGCAGACAGACAAACGCCCACAGATCCGAGGAGCTTCACCTGCTTCCTGGGCCTGCTGGCTGCTGTTAACTCTTTTCTACTGTACTCCATGTGTGCCACAGGATCCCATATCAAGACTCAGTTCCCAACTCTTCACACTTCCTGAGGTCCCTGAAACTTTTCTTTCTTACTTCCTCTCCCCTCCCCGTTTCTGAGACAGGATCTTGCAATGTAGTCCAGACTGGCCTTGAACTCACTATGTAGCCCAGAGTAGCCTCGAGCTTGTGATCCTCCTGCCACAGCCTCCCAAGTTCTAGGACTACTGGGGCCCTCCACCAAAAAGTAAAGCTCAGCGGGTCTCCTGTAGAGATAATGGCAAATTCCCACTCAGTGGAATCAAATAAATGACGGATTGCTCCTCTTAGTCATGAGGTAGCCATCAAGCATCTATGAAACCGTGGTGAGAGAATTATTCAGCCTGCCTTCCAGAAATAACCATTTTCCTGGGGAATGAGTACAAAAGAACAGAGACAAGCAAGACAGAGACGGTCATCATGGCCCAGTAGGCACCAGTGCTCTACAAACGCTTGGTCCAAGCTTTGCCTCACCTACTAAGTAGATTCTATTATCCACATTTTCACAGATGAACAAACAAGAATCTCAAGAACTTAAGTAACTTGTCCAAAGCGACACCATGTATTCTGAGCCATGATTTAAGGCCAGGTCTGTGGAACAAGAAAGTTCATTCCCTTCCTACTCTTCCAACCAATATATGGTTCAAATCAACAAAAACAAACATAGCCCAAGGTGGTCCATGATTTGACAATCAACTGGGTGTCATAATCAGAGTGTGCAGTAGGAGATCGGGGGCCACCACCCCAAACAGGAGTGCTCTGAGGAAACTGACCCTGGACCTCCTGGCCACAGCTCACTGTTCTTTTTTGTGGCCTTGTAAGTATTTTTTTCACAGACTCAGAGATGATTGGGCTAGGCTTCCCCCTGTTTATGAACTGAAAAACTGAGCCCCACAGGGATGAATTCCCTGGCATCCTTTCTGGCTAGAGTACAGTGGAAACCACGCATCCCAGGTGAGAGCCAGACGCACTCACTTCAGGTGCCCCACCCCAACCCTCCTCCTAAGGGCTCATGGAGGAGAGAGATGGCCAGAGGTTTCCGATAGTGCACGTCGGCAGCACTGTCATTTCCTTTACCCGTTAGAAATGCAAATTTAGGGCCTGGCTGCAGACCCACTGAGGCCAGCCAGTCTGAGGAGCACAAGCAGCCCATTCCACTCTCACACGCTGTGCCGTGTGAGGGGTAGAATGGAGGCCTCCACTGCCACTCTGGCATTAACAAAAAGCAGAGAAAGAAACAAGCAAACCAGAAAGGTCCTGCTGCTCTCCGAGTGCCCAGCCAGGCCCCTGTCCAGGCCCACATTCTCCAATCCCACTGTCCTTACCTCTTCCAACTTAGTCTGTCTGCAGGGAAAAGAAAAGGTAAAGCCAAGGGGTAATTTCTTATGCTGCAACCCTTTGGTCCTCATGAAATCCACCAGGCAATCGGCTACATATTCAAACAGCTGCAAAGAGAAAGCACAGGACACTGAGCTGGGGCACAGTTTCTCACAACTCACACCGCACCTTCCCCGCCTGCCCAGTACCTCTGTGCCATTCCCCCGGATGATTTCATTGGGTGTTGCGTAGAACTGACTCTCCATCTGGACGTTTCGCTTCCCCTCTTCAGAGACTTGCACCTTCAAGACCCTGAACTTGGACCCTCCAAGATCCAGGGAAAGGAACTCCCCTTTTTCTATGAAGAAACAAAATAGTTCCCCTTCGGTGAGGGTCTGCTCCATAGCAAGCTATGTATTAAAAGTTGGACACACAAAAAAATGCCATCAAGCCTCACACCCACTCTGTGGCCTGGTGTCATCACGCCCACTTGTCTGAGCCAGTGCAGTAGGGGACACGGCTGGGGTGTGACCAGGTCTGTCTGACTCCACAGCCTGAGCCCATCACACTGGGTCCTGCTGCCGGGAATGAACATGTGCATCTGGAGAAGGCAGCTCTGAGGCCCCTTGGTGTAGGTGGACGAAGAAATGGGCCTGGTAGGTGAGGCCTACTCTAGCACACAGTAGCTACAGAGAGAGTACAGATGGGCCAAGCAGGAAGAAACCTCAGATAAAGGCCTGAAACCAAGAAGGGAGGGATACAGATGGCAAGGATGTTTGGGCCAGAGCCAATCCAAAAGGAGGAAATAGAACATAAACCAGCCTCGCCCAAGAGAGATGCTATTAACAGAAATATGGAAATTAAGCTTGTGTTGGAGGAGGCAGCCCGCTCTGATGATGCCCACCCAGTACGTTTGCCAGTCTGTGCCTTCAGTGTCAGCCACAGGTGTGGGATGGGCACCTTCTCAAAACAACAAGCCTCTGTACAGACTGTCTGTGTCGGCGGAGTGGCTGCATGAGCCAGCCAGGCTTCACGACACAGGCCCAAGCACACATAAGTGAAGCTTCATGCCCATAAGCCTGGACCCAAATGGCCTTCTTTTGTACCATGTGACAGCAGCCACAGCTGCCTGAATCTACAGGGTCCCCTGGCCAATCAGGATTACTCTCTGTAAACCATAAAGTCCAGTACAGAACTTTGCTAATAGTGTTGCACACTGAAGGGTCAGCGTTCCAAACCCAGAGGCCAGCGATGCTGAAATCAGGCAAAGAAAACCTCACAAGGCCCAGTTTCATCGAGAACTGAGTCCACTGTTGTTCCTGCCCTCAGATTCCCATGGACCTTGCATATCTCCTTCTTGGTCCTTGCATCCTCAAACAATAAACTTTTCCTCAGTTGGGCTCTAGGTGGTTTCTCTGTTCCCCGCAAAGAGCTAGAAGCAAACCTTCAAAAGGCCCAGAGAGCACTGTTCAAGCTTTCAGTGGAAACCTCGCCAGCATGCAGATTGGGGTTCAGTGTAAGGGGATCTGAGATCCTGGATTTCTAAACAAGCTCCCAGATAGCCAAGGTCCACACTTATAACTGAAACCTCATTTATAGACTCAGTCGGCTCTATCGGTGGTGTGTAGAGAGACATCAAAATTGTGGGGCTATCTGGAGCCCCTCTCTCCCAGATCCTCCCTGAAATGAGCCTGGTGGAGCCGTTTGTTATTGGAGGCCAATCATGCGAGCTTCTGACCAGCACTTACTGTTCCCCAGTGTGAGGCATCCTCATAAATGCTGCCTGCCTCAGCAAGGAGGTGGGCATGGAAGACCACACAGTCCCCGAATAGATGTTCACTGAGCCCCTACTCTGTACCAAGTCACAGGCCAGCAGCCAAGGCTGCAAAGACGAAAGCCTGTGGGAGCCCCGGGGAGCTCCTCAGAAGTACAGTGTGGAAAGAAGCTGTCTCTGCTTAGGGAGGCAAGGGCTCTGCCGGTGGGACCAGCAAGGAGAGGCCGCCCAGCAGTGAAGCACAAGTGTCCCGGGAGAGGAGACCGCGAGCAAAGGTCAGAGAGAGCTGATGGTCTGTAGAAGAAATAGGGGTGGAAGGCAGTCTTGGATAAATGAGGGAATGTTTGGAAAAACCCACCCACACCTAGGAACTTAGGCTTTATCCAGAAGGCGAGAGAGGAGCCACAGAAAGATATAAAGCAAAGGAGAGCACAGATCGGATTGTGCTTTGAAAAAATGCCTCCCACACCAGCCAGGAGAGGCGGGAGTTTAACAACAGCGAGGGTGCCTGTGTCCAGAAACATTCCTCCTCTGTCCTCCGCTGTGACCTTATCACTCTGCAAACACCTTGCTCCTGGTGTTTGTCACCACAGGTGATTGCAGATGCCTTTTCATAGAAGCCACATGCCCAGCTCCTCAAGTGCAGCTCTCCCAAAGGCTCATGGGAGCCTTGCAGTTTCCTGGAGCTTCAGAGTCTGCCAGGGGAGACACCTGGGAAACGTGTCTGGAAATTGCCCCAACTACATCTGAATCCTGTGCCCAGGAAAGCAGGAAGCCCTCATAATAGTGCAGATCCTCAGACTGGTCAGTCAGGCCTCCCTTTGTGCAGGCCCAGGAAACCGACTGCAGGCCGAGGCTGAGAAGAGAGCCACTGCACATGGACCAAAGATACAAAATCAGCTGCACAGGCCCGTGATCAGGATCTGAGTTTGCTGTGCTCCTCTCTCTGTGACTGGTGGAAGAAAAGGAACAGATGCCAACAAAACACCTTTGCAACTTTTGGTCCTAACTCAAAATGGCCCACAGCAGCTCCCTGACCAAGAGATTTCCTCAGGTTCGGATGAGAGGAGGAGAAACCAGAGAGCTGACAAACGCAGAAGGGTGTCGTGGGAAATGGCTGCCGTTTCTGAAATGGAAGCCATGGGGATTAGGAGAGGCTTATTTGCTTAGTTTTTGTTAGCGAGCATGAAATTATACCACCAGCTCACAAGTGCTACAGAGGTTGGGGACAGCATCTGAGAGATTTTAAAGGATTCCACACAACCTCACCAGATCCCAGTGGAGAGGTTAAAAAAGGCATACTTCAAAATATGCCACCTCGGACCTGAAACTGAGAGCCCATGGGAGGAACAAATCCAGGAAGGTCTTTTCCTGGCCTTTCCTCACCTACCAATAGCCCAGCTCTGCTGTGGTAAGCACACATACACACACCTTCATCCTCTTCCAGAAATGTCATTATCTGAGGAAGATTAAATTCCTATCACAGAGGAGACAGGAAATCAAATGCCACACCCGGAGTGCAGAGGAACTTTGTCCCAGGCCACTGTCAGCCCTAAAAATCATTTACAACTACTCTGGAATTGCCTCCACCCGCATGTCCCCTCTGAGGAGGGTATTTAGGTCACACTCACCTGGTTCCGTTTTGCATTTCATTCTGGTATGGTCTCTGTGCACACATGTGTGTTAATATATGTGTCTGCTTTCTCTCCTGTTGATCTATTGCCAGTTCATTTCAACAGATTTAAAGATGAGCATCAGAGAGAGAGAGGGAGGGAGAAATGCCATTCGTCTCTCCACCGACAACCCTCCAAATTGGCGGGCACACTGGTCATGCCCTTTGGCCCATGAAGACAGGAACACAATGGTTCTGGTGTCTACCAAGGGCACCCACTCTTTAGGGACTCTGGGCTTGGGGACCTCACTGCCACAGACCTGCTGGGTGCTGCAGTGTGATGAGAGGTTCTGTGGGGACAGCGAAGCAAGGAGGCACGTGTCCCTAGCCAGAGGAGGGGGTTTCTAGAACTCAGTCAGAAGTCAGTCTCGTTTCCTTCTGAAGCGGCCCTGAAGCCTCAGAGCCACACAAGGTCACCGCCAAGCTGCCAGGGCCACACCTTGTCAGCATGTGGAGGAAGCCAGCAGGACTTAGCCCCTGTGTTCCTCAGCACCTGCTACACACCCTGTGACTCAGGTGCTTCAGCTGAATATCCCTGTGTGACCTATCAAGGCCCACAGTCCATCCGCTCTGCCAGAGGCAGGGAGGGCTGTCTTTCTTGAAAGTTTATGTTCCTCCAGGTGGTGCCCTGCCAACCAAGCACCCACCCTCTAGCCAAGAAGCAAGCCCTTCCCCATGCCTCAGGGGCCTGGAAACCAGCTGAGCCAAGCCACTTTGACCCAAGCATTGCCGTGGGGCTGCCCAGAACTGGCTAATCCATTTGCAGGTCTCTGAGAGGTCCCCAAGCTTCGGTCCTTATCCTTCTAAGGCTTCAAGCCTCTGAGCAATGGGACCCTGAAACTGAGGGAGCCCTTTGCTCCTTGGTGCTCCCATCTGACCTGGCACCCGCAGCCCTCACAGTGTCCTCCCAGGAGTAGGTAACACAGGGTCCCAGGCATCCCCTGACTGCAGGAGGTGCTCAATAAATAACAATTCTTCTCCCTCTTACAGCTTGTTCCGGAGGCTAGGAATGGAGGATCAGGTGGGAACTCAGATTCCTTCTAGAGCACTGTGGGCTCCAATGCAAATAGTATCCCCAGCCACCAAAGATGTCCACCTCCTAATCCCTGGACCCTATGAATATGTTAGGTCACGTTGGGGAGTTGAGGTTGCAGTTTGCAAATAAAATTTCTTATCAGCAGACCTTGAGGTGGAGATTATCTTGGTTTATTGGAATGGGCCTAATGTAGTCATAGACCTTCAAATGTGGAAGAAAGGGGCACAGGTGGACTCAAATATGCTACACTGCCAACTTTGGAGGCAGAAAGAGGAGTGGCCCTAGGAAGCTGAAAAAAGCCAGGAAACAGATTCTCCCCTGGAGCTTCAGAAGAAACACAGCCCTGCTGATGCCCTGATTTTAGCCCAGCCAGATCCATTTCAAACTTCTGACCACTAGAACTGTAAGAGAATACAACTGCCATGTTTGCCCTCTACATCTGTGGTAATGTATTACCAGTCTCCAGGGGAGAGACCTAGGAAGCCGTGTGTGTAGAAATCAGCTGAGGTGAATCTGAATCTTAGGTTCAGGAAAACCTGGAAGCGGGTCCTAGTGCAGACCCCGGGCCTGAGATAGGACATTAGGGTGTGGCAAAACTGGCTGGGGACGTAGGTGTGACCTGTTAATTACAAGATCCCAGACACGTGTGCAGAACAGATCCCAAACCCCTCAGGTGGACTACTTCTGGGAACCTGAGCAGGTTTTCCATAGGATAGTCTGGAGCTGACGTCAGCCTAGGGCGGGATCTCAGAACCACCTCTCAAGACCCGGATGTGGAAGTTCTCACAGGTTTCCTCAAGATTTAGATAGTATAAAATAAAGGCAGCCATGAGGAACCGGTGCTATCATAACTTTCTATTATAGCCCACTCTGCGTCTCCCAGACACAGCATGTACTTTCATCTTTGCTTTTATTCTCTTTTTCTCTTTACTTGGCCCGGGCTCACTCTTCAGAGCCAGTTTCTCTCCCACTTTACACTTTTTTTTCTTGAATAAACTTTTCAACTGCTTTTTTCTTGTTTCAGTCTTTGTTTGAGGCAAAAGGAACCCGGAATCCAACTCCAGAAGGAGAGAAGAGCAACCCCGAACCTGGTAGCCTTTAGTTGGTGAGCCATTTTTTAAAACAAGTTACCCAGTAATGGGCCCATCAGTCAACTCTAGCTGACTACCTTGGAGCTCTCAGCCTCATCCCCAAGAATAAAAACATCAATAGAAACCTAGTACCTAGGCCAGCTCTCATTTTAGAGATGGACAAACCAAGGGTAAGCACTTGCTTTAGATCACTAAGGAGGGATAGAATTGGGTCTAGAACTCGGGGTTCTTGAATTTTCATTTAGTATTTTGCACAACATGATGCTTTCATTACTTAGTACCTCTGGCCTAGAGTCTAGACACCCAGGAACGGATGCCACTTGCTATCTATTCAGCACATGCACATGCTCCAGGGCCTGGTATGCATTTGGAATTTGAAACACTTGGGTGAATAAGGACCTGGCCTCCAGAAGCTGCTGGTCCAGGGGAGACTCTCATCCCCTTGATAGAAGGACTCTGAGAAGCACCTAACCTGCTTTGGGCAGCTTCCCAAGGAGAGGAAGTGAGTGACCTGCCGAGGTCAGAAAGCTAAGGCAGCACTCACTAGGACAAGGGGAAGGGGGCTGCGGTCGGAGAGGGAACAGAACACAGAATGAACAGGCCAAGATGGGCAGGGAGGAAACAAGGTGCCTCGGCCTGAGAAACCCCAAGTTGTTGAGCGGGGCTGAAGCAGAGACAGTCAGGAGAGCAGGAGAGGAGGTTGCAGAGAGAAGCTGGGGTGAGTGGGGCCAACCTCTCTTTTATTATGCTGCGGGACCCGTCAGCTATGAGGAGCAGGGGCTCGAGTCCTGGTATCCACAGCCCCGCTCACCTGAGCCATCCGGAATGGCCCTGACGAAGGTGGGCAGCATCTTCACGGAGGCAGTGGGGTTGGTGTCCTTCCCCAGTCCCTTTTCCATCTCGGCCTGGAACCGCGCCATGATATCCAGAAGGGTCTCATCTGAGAGCCGCATGTGGTACAGGAACCTGTCCACCTGGAAAGGAAGCCCGAGTGTCAGAAGTGGCAGCTGGGGGTCCTTGGGGACAGGTTCGTGTCGTAGCCTCCCAGGGACTTCTCACCTGACTCCTCAACAAGAAAGGCAAGGAAGGGGGTTGGCATAGCTTGGTGCAGTGGAAGGTTGAGGAGGTACAGGTGGATCCCTCCGAAAGACAATCTCTTAGGAAGAAGTGATTCCCTGTTATTCTGCGGGGATGATGCAGGGTGGGAGCAGGGCTTATGAAGAAGAGTTCAGGGTTTCTAACTCCCAGTTCGCAGCTCTCATCAGTGGAGAGGACAGGCTATCACCTGAACATGGAAGTTCTTGAACATGGAAGCTTTCTTTGGTCTAACGATGACAATAGGGACAGCCCAAAACATTTCCCTTTGTTATTGGCTGCTAGGCAGCTCAGAACTGGATTCAGTTTCCAACTGAAATCTTTAAAATCTAGCCCTTTAGATTTCCATCTTGATTTAACTGAGATTTTTCTAATTAAGATGAAGTTCAAGTTTTAAAGTCATCTCAAAGCGCTCCTGAATATAAGAAGATGCTATTCCAGAATATGGCTTATATCTAGACGTTCCTCAGAGCCTCGTGTGCCCATACGTGGGGCTTCTGGGAGTGACTGAATCGTGGATGTGTGGTACTGGATTAGTCTCTTGATTGGTTTTAGTATAGATAGTTCTGGGTGTGAGTAGCACCAAGCAATAGGCTCGCAGCCTGGATGGAAAAAATGAGAAAGAAGCAGTTGTGCGTGATAGTTCTGGGTGTGAGTAGCACCAAGCAATAGGCTCGCAGCCTGGATGGAAAAAATGAGAAAGAAGGGCAGTTGTGCGATTTCTGCTGTGAACTGTTTCTCTTCTGCCATGCCCTCTCCATTGGAACCAGCCAGCTATGGACTGAAACCTCAACAGACTGTGAGCCCAAATAAATCTCTCTTCCTTTCATTTGTGGGTGTCGGGTATTTTTGTCTCAGCAACAAGAAGTAACTAAGACATCCAGTAATCAAGAAATAGAGGCCTGGGAATTTAGTTCAGTGGTTCTGCTGCCTGCTTCATAAGTGCAAGGTCCTGAGTCAATCCCCAGTACCAAAAAAAA